ACACACACACATATATACATATATATACATGTTATTCGAAATAAAAATGCTGATCCTACCAGATTTGGAGGGCTGTTGGGAGAAGAGCAGCTCACCACCATCAGATCTCTCTCTATGTTCAGCAGACACCAGTTACCAACCTCAGACTCTAAAGGCAAACAATGATCACCATTAGAAACAGGTTAAAACACACACTGAAGTGGTTCTACAACAATATAGATTATTATTAACTAACTAACCAAATACTTAAAAAAGTAAGTATATGTCGTGACTCACTTGCAGTCAGAGAGGTGATGCTCCCTGTGCTGATATCCACCATCAAGAGATCCTAAAAAGACCAAAAACATATGACAATAACATTTTTTTTGCATACAAATACAAAATTCACATTATTTGCAAACTGTTAAATAACTGAAATATATGAAAAAGGTGATATTAACCCTTAATGTGTATTTTTCCCCCTCACAATATCAAGAAATTTCCCAGACAGTAACTTTACCTTAAGGCTGCGCTGAGGGCAAGAAATAATAACACGCTGACTATCAGCTGACCAGCACTGAGGGGACAACTGACAACTGTAGATACCGGTGAAGCCATCTGCACAGCCAAACATTAATCGTTTTTTATTATAAATATATGCAGTTTTACATATTCTACAGTTTTATATACAGGAAAAAAATGGCGACCACTATGTACTCCCTACCCTCTCCAGGTCGCTTCACGACATCCACCACCACCGAGGTCTTCTTAGTATACCAGTCATACTAGTATTAAAAGAGAAAAGCCAAAGCCAATGAACAGAAATTTAAGGAAAGCTAATTTCATAAGAAGGGAAAGTTGGCACATTTGGTTGAAAAAAGCCAGATTCTGTTTTACCATACACAGCCTGTTGCACTGCATGTGTGGTCCATAGACAGAACACTCTAGGTAGACAATTCGACACTGGTCCGGGCTAAGCCGGGGAGAGCACACTGCGCTGGTGCCTGATGAAAGCTGCTCTGATGGGCACAACAAACACATACATATGTACATGAACAACCGTTTACAGCTGGGTCCATAACACAACAGATTAAACATAAGTGGAACTGCATTTCTACTTAACTGGATATGATAACTTCAACTTAACTTGTGTTCATAAAATAGGTCTGAAATGATAGAAACAACACAAATCCACTCACCACATTTCCCACCAGTAAGATCCACGTAGAACAAAGATGACCTGACAGAGAAAAATGAAACATAAACGACTTACAGTATTAGCTTATGAGGGTATTTATGACTGATCAGCTGTGCAGTCTGACTTGATCGTTGTGAACTGTCATCACCTCCTGTTGGGGCAGTACTTCAGGCCAAGTCTGAAAGGCTCATGCCACCAGCCTACAAAAACCACACCTGTGTCACCTGGAGCCCAAAATGCCTGCAAATAGAGAAACAGTGTGATACCGAGAGTAAAAGAGAGAAAGAACAAAATATTATGAGGATACTTGAAGAGTGTAAACATTAAAGAAAAGCATACAGCAAATGGAAAAAAGAAAAAAACAATTGCACTAACCTGCCCTGGTGAGATATCTTCAGGCACTCCCTCCAACACAGAAACATTGCTTCCCTCGATGTCCAAAACACAAAGCACAGGACAGCTCTTACTAACCAAAGTCTCTCCCCAGTCCTCATGGAAGACAAACTGCTCCCCCTGCAGGAATAAGATGGGAACATTTAAACTAACGAGGAAAAGAACTTCAGACCAGAACCTTTGAACTGTGAAAATATTTTCAGTTTCGGGAATATTAGCTCCATTCACTTTCACAGCCTCCTTTTTCTCAGTTCTCAAGGTCTCGTCCTCATCTCCAATAGAAGACAACTCTGGAGACTCCGTCTGTAAGGAGAATATGGAACATAGAATGGTTAATACTTATTAACTAGTCATTTCTGTTATTTCACATTCAATTATACAGTGAATTAACTCTCTAGAGAGGAGACAGTAAACACACTTCACTGCTGCAGTTGCTAAATAACAATCAGTATTGTTATGGGATTTTGCTTTTGAATAGCAAGGAAAAAGACCTATATTTTAATAAGTTTACAATATTGTTTATGACTGAAAAGTAAGCTTTCTTTCAATGACATTCAACGACTTTGGAGAGTACTTTAATCTCTTTGGTGTGAGTGCAAATATGTCAAAGTCATTACAACATATATTTCATGCTTTTTAATTTGTTTTAATACAAACAGACCTGGAAGAAAGATTCTGCTGTTGGTCTTTTTCTTTCTGCCACATATAAGAGGTGGGTCTCAGAGTGAGACCAAACCAAGCAGCCAAACTGGTCTAAGGATGAAAAATAACCCACACAAAAGTTTAAATTTAAGATATTTAGGAAAAACAACAAACACCAAAGATTTTACAACAAGATGACTTACCATCTTCATAAACTTTGCCATGCTTCTTTAAGGCTGTCAGATCTATGCTCTTCACCTTGATGTTTTTACTCCAGATCTGAAAGGCCACAAGCAGGTAAGTAGAAGAAGGTTAAAGTTAAAGTCCGATTTTTTCTAATGTAAGCTAACACACAGTTTTCCATGGTGTTGCCATGGACAATAAGAGACTAACACAATAGGAGAAATAAAATGCTAAAGTGGAACAAAGACAACAAAAGAGCAGGTGTGAAACTCAGTGCTGACACTGAGCCAGACACACACCTCCAGAAACTGTTTATCTTTCCCTTGAACCGTGCATTCTCTGACAACTGCCTTCATTTCACCAGAAGGAGAATCCTTACTTAGCACCCTGACAGGAGACACAAATGAGAATATACTGTTGTATCTGCTCAGAAAGTATTTGTAGCCAAACAATAGATCAAATATGAAAGTGATACATACTCTCCTTTGATCTCAGTGCAGTTTCCCGAGGCTCCAGAGTAGACCACAGACTCGTCATCGTGAAATACAATGTACTGCCTGCAAAACTTAACAGTCTCATTCCTCTCCAGATCCCGCTGGTTCCATTCTGCAGAAGAAAATAAACACATAAAAATATAATTAACGTGCATCATTACATGCAAATCTGACCGTGTTACGTGCAGCACATTAGGTGTACCTGTGTAAATGTTGCTGTATTTGCCTCCATACTGAGAAGTGATTACGGGTCCCACATCTGCTCTGGTCAAAGATGGATAGAGGCTGAGCTCTTTATAGAGCTTGGCAATGTCCTTCGCACTGCTTACCACCTGACAGCACACAGCAGGAAAACTCACATTACGTCTCAGTGACAGAAGCTGTCCAACAGCTAACAATGCCCTGTTCATCTTGTTGCTATGAGGCTAACCATCAGGGTAAAGTTTGTAGGCTATCACTCACACTATTTACCGCTAAAAAAGGAAACCAGACGTTAAACATATGTCAAAATAAAGCAACACCCATGCCTTCAACAAAGAAACCAATTAAAACAGTTTGTTTGCTTCGAGTGGCATTTGTCCGATTTAACAGTATCCACATGACCAGGAACTTCCTGCAGAAGAAAACAACTGAATCACTGTCCGACTGCTAGCTTGACTCGGAAGCTGGCTAACGTTAATTCAGTTATTACAAAAAAAATCGCGACAGCGTAATTACCGCCCGCAACACATTTGCACCTATTTAGTAACAGATTTTTGGACACAAAAGCCACACATAATTAACGTCAGCCGTCAGTTCCACTTGAATCATACCTGTGACTCCATAATAGCAACGGTGTGTGTCGCTAGTCTGTAAATATCAACCAGTTAGCAGCACAAAGAATGAAAGCGCCACTACAAAGCGAGCCATAAAGTACACGTTACCGCTTCCTGCTGCCCCTTATAAAACAAAATACTTGATAAACAGTTTCTGAATGAATCAAAACATCGTTATTAAGTTAATGAATACATAATAAATTTAAACGAATAAAAGCACTCTAAAATGTGTTGCCGACAACTTAGAACGCTGTTCACTAAACAGAGGTGTTAAGCATATACTTTTATTTTGTAAAACAATTGCTACTGTGATACTTAACAGGAAGCAGCACACAGCAAGTAAGGAACTTTTTAAATGCCCTCTTGCACTGTTAATACTGCTTTTACACTACTTTACATAGTGTTGAATTAAATATCTTAACTATCTAATTGTATATGATAAGAGAGAAACGTATATAGGGAAAATAGGTGATTACATAACTTTATGAGTAGTATTTATTTAATTCCTGTGTGCATGACAGCTACTGCTCTGGTCTTGTCAGTCAGCTGTGGTAGGTGGGGTCACAAAGAGCCAAGATGGCTGATTTTGAGGAGCCGCTGTCAGATGAAGAGAAGGTTTGGAGACTCTTTAATTCCTTGCTCAGCAACATTTTTCTCATTTATAAATGGGCTCACCTGTTATATATTTATGTGAAATTTGGAAAGACAATGGTAGTTTTTGTTCTGATGTAGAAATTATAAACTTCTGTTTTAAGCTACCGTGAGCTAACTAGCCAACGCTAGTTCGAGCTTATACTTGGCTAGCAGCTACAGAAGCAAACATTCATTCATTAAGGGTTTAACCATTTTGGTGCTGAAAAGGTGTTTAGAATAAAAATTAAATTAAAATAAAAGTATCACGACTAGTTTCCAAAATTAGTGTGACAATGTCCATGCCAGTGACAATCACAGAGAGGGCTGTGTGTTCCTTCTATAGCGTTCGCTAACATTAGCAGCTACCATTACTTTGCCTGCGATTTCTGGGTCAAACAGATTCAGTTGCAGCTCAAATACTTATGTTTGCATCACATGACTGAAGATCAGGATACAGGCGCCTAGAGTTAAGATGAAGCCTGACGGTGTCACTATTCGCAACGCCAGTTAGAGGCATGCATTTCAGCATCGTCGTTCTTTGAGAAAGGGTAACTACTGTAGGGTAAGGCATCTGAACAGGAAGACAAAGTGGCGACAACATTCTTCTGATAACAGAACTGTTGCCGTTCAGGTAGGAAAACAAAGGGCGAGATGACATTTTCCTTACGAGAAACTGACAAGCAGTGTTTAAATTCAGTGTCCACTTCAAATGACAGAGTCTATCCTTTATTTAGTAAAACTTGCTCTCTGCTAGGTTAAAGTCTCGACTGTTGCAAAAGACATGGGAGCTTTAAAGTTACACTGACTTCTTCACAAGAAAAGCTAGCAACCTAATTCAAAATCAGTAACAAAATCGGTTGTTAATTGGAGTGTTAAATTTGTTAAAATGTGATTACTTACTTGAGCCAAAATGGCAAAAGCTACAAGAATGTTAGGTATTACCCCACAGATTGAAACCAAGTCACTGTACACAATATTTGCCTTCAAAAGTGTCTAATAAATGCCAGAATGAGTACAACATGGGGGTTACAGACGCCAGGCTAATCAGACATTGACAAGTCTGGGTTTGGCAGTCGTTCAGATATTACAGACTTTGTACCAGGGAGGTGAGAGATTAAAGATCCAGTGGGTAATGACAGGAAAATGTGGGATTGCAGTGAACGAGTAGAGCTCAGCAGAAATCCCCTCCTACCTTTCCCATGAAACAAAATGTTATTATATATTTTTTAAACTGTGTAAAATAGGTTTTCATTTACTCAAACATAAGATATTTTTGTCTATAAAATGGCAATAAATGAGAGAAAATCATGTTTTGTTTTGCTTAAAAAATACAACAAGCTTATTGCCTATTCCACATCACATGCTGTAATGTGAATTACCATGTATACGGACCTTGCAAAGGCCCATTCTGAGTCAGAAAAAGCCCTCATTACTTTGATGGCTGAATTAATTGGTGGCATTAAATTTTTGTCTGCAGGTCCGCATAGCCGCCAACTTTGTGACACATGCCCCCCCTGGAGAGTTCAATGAAGTCTTCAATGGTAAGAAGCAGATGTAGAAAGATGTCTTTGATAATATCACTGACTTATGTATTATACTTTGCTCCATCCAAACGTTGGTTTATTTTACTCTTTGTAGATGTGCGGCTTCTCCTCAGCAATGACAATCTTCTTAGGGAGGGGGCTTCACAGTAAGTGCTGCTTAGTTACGCATGTGATGAAATTTCATTATTCAGGAAATAGGTTACAAAAGTTTCCATATGGGAAATTTTTCATTTCAGAGATGTTTGTCATTCCTTATATCTTTAAGGCACTTTTGATGCCATATTATTAATATATACTTTGTTTTTCTGCCGATTTTCTTTCTCCAGCTCCTTTGCCCAGTACAACATGGATCAATTTACACCTGCCAAGTTAGAGGGATATGATGAGCCGGTATGTTGGGATTTTTGAAATCATTCATTTAAATCGATAATTTTTTGGGCTCCCCTGAAGAGTTAGTTGATCACGTTTTGACTCATCAGTTGATCATGAGAAAGATCTGAGTACTTCTGTGTGATGCGCATTTATTTCCAGTCCTAAAACAATTTTCTGATGAGCCGTAAATAATCAAACAAATATAAAACCAGCCAACTGAGGAAATCTTGGTTCAAGTGCAGTCGTTTTCATTTTACGTGAGCAAATGCGTGCAACAGGGTTATTCACTCTTTCGTATTCCTTCATTTAAGGTCCTGATCACAGAGCATGGTGACTTGGGTCAGGGACATTTCCTCGATCCTCGCAACTGTTTATCGTTCCGTTTCGACCACCTAAGAAAAGAAGTGAGCGACGTGCAGCCATACGAAGGAGAGACAGCCCTGAGAAGTTGGAGAGATGCCTGTGATACTGCCCTTAGTGCCTATGTCAAAGAGCACTACCCTACTGGAGTCTGTACGGTAAGGTGCATTTAAAACAGTGACAATATGGTCATTATAGACAACATTGCCTGCTGTTTACCCATAACATCAATGTGTTGCAGGTATATGGGAAAACAGTTGATGGTCAGCAAACGATCATAGCCTGCATTGAAGGACATCAGTTTCAACCCAAAAACTTTTGGTATAGTGTACATCCTGAACACAGCAGATAAAAAATGCATATGTGAATATATCTAAATATAAGGCAAGGCAAGTTTATTTGTATAGCACAATTCAACAACAAGGTGATTCAAAGTGCTTTATATAATAGAATATTTTACTTTTCATGATGTGGCTCTGTCACAGAAATGCTTAGAAATATGGTCTTCTGGGTAAAGGGGGAATATTAGGTGCTTATTCAGTGCTTTTTGCTTCCTGATGATCCTGTTTGTAACACAAGTCTTCTTTTATTCTCCCTGACAAAGGAATGGCCGCTGTAGGTCAGAGTGGAAGCTTACCATTGGTCAGTCCACTGCTCAGGTGGTAGGAGTATTGAAAATCCAGGTCAGTGTACACATTGTCATAAATACGGAGAAATATTGTTGCAAAGTATTGGTTTGATAATGAACTTTTTTTAATTGCAGGTGCACTATTATGAAGATGGGAATGTGCAACTGGTTAGCCACAAGGAGGTAGAAGACTCCATACCAGTGACTGTAAGTACATTAGTCTGTGGAGGTGCTGATGTGTGTCAACAATGTGCATTTAGTCGTCTGACTGACAGCTTTGTATGAAGACAAAAGACATCTCTCATTGTTTTTTGACAGAATGAGATCCAGACAGCGAAGGAATTTGTTGACATTATTGAGAATGCAGAAAATGACTACCAGGTGAGCGAGCTTTTGCTACATGGTTTATGTACTGCCTTAAAATAAGTGTTACCTGTAACATTTTGAATTTTTAAAAAAGGAAAAAATCATGATGTTTGTTTCCCTTCTGCTTTTGCTCCCTCAGACTGCGATCAGTGAGAACTACCAGACCATGTCTGATACGACCTTTAAGGCCCTGCGTCGTCAGCTGCCTGTCACACGCACAAAGATCGATTGGAATAAGATTCTAAGTTACAAGATTGGCAAGGAGATGCAGAACGCTTAAAGCAAGGCCGGGGACTGACCAGGGAGATGCATGCTCCTGCTGGCCCACAACCCACCTGTACCTGCGCGAGGACTAACCAAAGCAAAACTATATCAATATGGGGCAAGGAAAAAAAGAAAAAACAACAAAAAAAATATAACTAAAGGTGTCTGGACTGTTAGGCACAGACGTCTGTCTGTTGCGAGGAATGTTCAATTATGGAAATCATGGTTTAGAGAAAATGGTTGTATGTTCGGACAGGGCTGTGCTCAGGACTGCAGCATTAGAGAAGTACATTTCCTCTGGCCGTCTAAGGATCACAGACCTTCTTAGAAGCTAGTATGAGAAGTTCTGTATATATTCTTATTCTTAGTAAAACTGATGTAGAACTATTACAGTTCTCAGCACACACAGAAGGAACCAGGATGCACAAAGCAGCTCGTGAGAGAAATTAAGCACACCATCACCTATCAGGGTTTTTGTTTTTCAGAGATTTTGTGTCATTGTGGTGCGATGAATTAGAACTCAAGTACATGAGTAAAATCTAAATACTGAGTAGCCATCATCTGCCGTGACAGTTTAACTGTCCAATACCAAGCTGGCAGTCTTTTTGAACGGACATGGAGCTTAGTTACACACTGCAAACAAAACATATTTATTCCTGTTGCAAACATTTAAAAATGGCACAATCCTTAGCATAGCTCTGTTCCTGCACCTTGTTGTCAGTATGTGTTACAGCCAAGGGAATGTTGTTTTCTGTTGTGATCCCCTGATGTATGGTCTCTCCACCCATGCAAGCTGTGACGACTGAAATGAGATAAAGCAACTTCTATGACGCTGCATCTGCAACACATTCTGTTCTTTGGCAACACCCTCATTGCTGTACAGCTTTTCCTTTGTATAGAGGAAAACTTATATACTCACATTAACCAACATTTATTTGCCAAAATCTCTTTCCTATGGTAAAGATCTCCATCTTCCCATCCACGTATGCAAATATCTATTTTAATACACAAGTTTCTGTTGGGAGTCTTTGAAAATTGCTCTAACTGCAACAAACTGTTTGTGTACTGGTCGGCGCCAAGTGGACAGAGAGCAGCTGCCACGAGGCAAGAGCTTACTGTAAATGACTTCTGTAAGGCCACATCATACTCTGTTTTGCATCACTTCTGAGTAGGCAGACTCCAGATCAGTTACTTGTTAGCTATATTATGTGCTGTGTCTAAACCTTACAATACAAAACTGTGTGCCGATCAGTGAACGTCAAGACTGTACTGCCCCATTCTGTTCAAATAAAGAGATTGAACGTGACAGTTTTATTTCATTGTCTTGATACAAAAAGTTAGATAGCACTCCAATCAAGATGTAAACAACGGACATTGTTTTAAAAGACACTCTAGGCTTTCAAGACATGGCCAGTTTATTGGAAAAGCACAAAATTTTGCAGGGTTTCATGACATCTTTATACAGGTGAAGGTCCTGACAGCAGTGTACGCCTACAGATTCAAACAGAATGGCTAAAATATTTGCTTGGAAGGAATCAATGGTTTTAAAGCCAAGGATCATACAGTAGTATGTAATAGAGTAATTACAGTGGCATGATTGAAGCTTTAGTGTCCACTCTTACTGACAGTATAACTACAATTCATCACATAATAATGACACACGGTCCTCCCTGTGAAGATGTCACTAAAATAATCGTAGACATACAGTAAAGTAGTGCAAAGTGCGGTCTCCCTTTTCATAATGCTCAAGTGTTTTCATGGTTAAGTGTAGCATAAAAACAGTACATGCAGGTGATGCTTTTACAGTATAATAAAGTTTTTAACTGAGAATCTCTAGAAACTGCATAAGAAGTCATTGGGAAAACATTTCAAAAACACAGTGAAAGCTACACATTTGCTTACATTTACACATTTTAGCCCTACACAGTCTATTTTTAACATTGTGTGACTGGTGTTTTTTTAATTGTAAAACAGTGAGCAGCTTCTGCTCATGACAAAAGAAACTGTTTGTTAAACAATGACAAAAACTATAATAATTTCTTTAAAAAAATCCACAGGTGCTTTCTTTAAATTGTAAATTGTTTTTGGATACTTTTAATATAGTGTCTAAAATATTTCAATTATTACACAAACTCACAATAGTTCTACGTAAAGAAAGAAAGACACCCAAGTGACAGAAAACAGATGCATCTAAAATAATCCATGTACTGTAGTTCATTTCAAATAGTTCTACTCCAACTTTCCAACTGTTTCATGGAGGTAGAGGTGCAGCAAAATCTGGATCAGCTTCAGTTGTCTAGACTTCTGATGGAGTGCTATTAAGTAGTTTTGCTACTTAAGATGGATACTACAAAACCGCCGACATAACCCTGAATTGTTTCGTTGGTTAGTGTGATCTTTCTATTAACCACTTGAAGATAAAACCAGGTCGGACTCCTTGGCCCCCTCCTGGCCACTGCTACTGTGCCCACAGTTCCCCGTCAGCTCTGGAAAGAGGCTGGTTCGAGCAGAGTGACTGGGAGAGCCTGGAGTTGGACTCATGCCCGGCTTCTTGGGAGGAGTTGGGGGAGGGTATGCCCTCTCTGAACGTGGAATGACGGGGGAGCGGATGCCTGGAGATAGAGGCCCTGAAGGCGACCTTCCTCCCGGGGGAGATGCTGCTAGATTGCGGTAGTCCGTGCCAAATGGAGAGCTGCTGATTGGAGCCAGCTTGACTCCAGCCTGCTGATTGGTAAAGCGGGACAGCACCTGAGTGACAGTGTTGCGGGCCAGCTGCTTAGCTGTGGTGTGCTCTGGTGGGGGAGGAATGGAGGAGGTGGTGGGGGAGAGGTCCCTCGGGGAAAGCGGGCCGCCGTGCTGCTGCTGATCCAGCTCCGCCTGACTCTGGAACTTGTGCCGGGCCGCCTGGAACCGCTGATTGACTCCAGCCTGGTAGGACGACTGATGGAAACCAGGACTGCCCAAACGCTTTGCCAGGACAGGAGAGGAAATGGGGGAAGAGGAGAGGGAAGAGGAGGCTGTGCTTGAGGGAGAGGCAGGATGAGGGTGAGGGGAATGCAAAAGAGATCCTCCCCCATTTTCTACTACCCCACCATTATCCGCCCCTCTCCCCTCCTGTGTCAGTTCTGCCTCCTTTTGACCATGATGGCCGTTGACTTTTGACAGTGAGGTGGATTTAGGCGTGACGGGTATCTTTCCATCCAGCTCAGTCTGAACAGAGGTGGCTACTGCCATCTTTTTGGGCATTGACTCTTTCTCCTCCACCACAGCTGCCTTTGCCTCTTCTTTAGATCCTTCAAGTTCAGCCAACCTCCTTTTCAGGTCCTCCACCTGTCTCTCAAGCTCCTTACTCCTTTCCTCCTCTTGACCCAGTCTGACTTTCAGTTGCTCACGTTCTCTGTCAAACTCAGCCATCTGTTTCTCAGATTTGGCCTGAAGCTTGGCCGCCTTGCTCTTCTCATTTTCAAGAACAGCCCGCAGCTTCTCCAGGGCACTGGTCTCCTCTTGCAGCAATACTTGAAGTTGTGAGACTTTCTGGGCTTCCTCCTGAGCCTGGCTGCTGGCTTTCTGGAGCTCCAGAGTCAGAGTGGAGGAGAGCTGCTGCTGCTGGGACAGAGACTCCTCCACCTTGCTCACTACTTGATCTTTGTCCTTCTCTAATCTCTGCACTGTTGCATGCTCCACTTCCAGCTAGAAAGGGAATGACAGAGACACAAATAGAGTCATAGTTGCTCTGCCACATGTGGCCACAAGGAGGCAAACGAGCACTGCTGTGTCACAGTAGATCCAACAGTGGAGTCGATACTGTTTTCTTTAAAAATACACATTTTCTGAAAAGTAGAAGACGTCTATTCACTATAACCAAGCTGGCAGCAATCGTGTTTTTCTGTTTCAAACACTGCTGTCTATTTCAGAGCTGTTTTATATGTGATTTTCATTATTTGACAATGACTTTTATGACATTAACTCAAGTGACACTGAGATAATAATGGTTTTGTCTCATTTAAAAAGCTGTTTTTTGGAAATTAGCATTTACTGTGAAATCTTTTGAAGATTTCTGGGCTTCTAAAGATCTTTGATGAGTGTTAGAAGGACGTGAGAGGTGATAAAATATAATGGTGTGTATTTGGTATGAGGCAGGAAGGCCTAAGGAAGACTGAGAGACGCTCAGGAAGCCTTTCTTACATAAGGTGCTCGTGTGAAGTTTATGTAGTAGCCGATTGTGTGCTCTCAGTGTGCGTGCTCGCCGGCTGACCTTGCATTAGACGTGAACATCCATTATCTCAGGCTTCCTGAGACCATAAAGCCCCATGGCAACCAGTCAGCTAAACAATAGTCTCTTCCTCATCTGTTTCCCATGGAACATTTCTGTGCACACTAGTGCCTGTGTGTGTCTGTACTTTTAACCGGACAAGCCCTCTCCACCCTACTGAGTTACACAGTGGAGTTTCACTGATGCTTCCCTGCTGCTGGGTTTTAAATCACCACCACAGCGAAAAGGACACTGTGCAGGGAGAGGTGAGGGAAAGGGAAGCACAGATGTGCTCATCTGTCAGCAAGAGAGGAACGATTTCTATAAGACGTTAACATTTTATCTCTAAGACAAACATACATATAGACACACTTATTGTTTCGCATATCCTTTACACTCCAGTCTCACCTGATGCAGCAGTTTATCTCTTTCTGTCTGCAGCATGAAGGTGAAGTCAGCGTGGTGTGCAGATTCCTGGACGTGTCGTCGTTTCTCCTCCTCCAAGTCTGCTATCATCTATCAAACATACAGCCGAAGGGAAAAACACTAAAATTGTGAGTCTCCCACACATATCCTCACAGACCACGAGCTTTGGGGTGGAAAAGCTCCACATCCCCTCTTGGTCTGCCTCACTACTGTAAGCCAAATCAGTAGCTGAAACAAATACACATGCATGTTCACACACAAAGCAAACCATGTGTGATAATGGCTGTGTAGAAAAGCTGATCTGAAGACTGGTGACTCTCTGAATGTGCATTGCCCCTTACCCGCCTGTGTCTGTTTTCAGCAGCAGCTAGCTGTCCCATCATCCTCTCCTGCATCCTCTTGCAGTGAGCCATGACCAGTTTCAGCACAGCCAGAGGATTTGGCCCCACTGCCCTTCCCTGCAGATGCGTGTGAGGTTCGGCGGCTGTGTTATGGCACTCCATGGCTTCGTTGTCCCGCTGCAGGGCCAGGAATGGATCGCTGAGGTCATACTGTCCGTAGCGCTCTTGGACAAAAGCATCTCTGTGCTGAGCCTATCAGATACACACAAACACAGTTGCATTAACCTGTTATTTTGTTGCATATACAATGACATGAAATCCATTCTGTTCTATTCACAGATATGAATACGGTTGCACTTTCCAAGAGATGCTGAAAGCTTGAACAAATATCAAATATTGAAGCGCACGGTAACACCCATTTTTGTGTAGCACAGCAGGCAACAAGATACAGTCCTGTGAAAAAGGAAATTTTCACAGGACTCTGTGTAGTCCTGTGAAAAACTAAGAACACAACACAATTCAATAGCGTGTAGAAACACCTTTATCAACAATACCTTGAAGTTTGTTTTCTGTGTGACTAAATCTCTTTGGTTCTCTTTTCTTTACACATTTGGCATTAGTTTATGGACGCCTGTCTTAAAGTCCTGCAACAGCACTTTAATCCGGCTGGACTTTGACTGGGCCGCTGGAGCACCTGGATTATTTTCTTTTTTAGACATTCTGTTGAAGATTTGCTCCTGTGCTTGGGATTATGGTCCTACTGCATGACCCAGTTTCAGCTAAGCTTTAGCAGTCGGACAGACGGCCTCACAAGTGACTGTAGAATACTAAGTTCATAATCAAAGACTGTAAGGTGTTCAGGTCTCATGGCTGCCAAACAAGCCCTAATAATTATCTCTATATCTCTGTGACATGTGGTAGGAGGTGTTTGCCCTGATATGCCGTGTTTGCCGTGTCTTTTTTTTGCTTTACATTTTAGCCAAACATCTCCACTTTGGTCTGTACGAAGGACACTGCTCCAGGAGTCTAGTTTGTTTAGAAGCAACTTTGCAAACCCAAGCCATGTAGCCACGTTCTTATAGAGAAAACTTTTGGCAACCCTTCCAGTCATACTAGTCCAATCTTTTTCTAATTGTACTATCATTAACTCTAACAGTTAGCAGTATAAGATCTGTGCCTCTTTTACATTTCCATAGCCTGACTTTGGGGTGATTCCCCCCCCAGATTGACAGGCAGCAGCACGATGTCTTTCCTCCTTGGAACTGTGTTCAAACACAACTGAATACCAGCAAACTGCCCCAACCCTCTCCTTTAATAGAGGTGTGCATGCTTGCTGGAGATCATTTAATTAAGTTGATTTAATTAACAGGACCTGACTGCAATTTATTCTCTTAACTTCTATGGAAACATTGGAGATGTATTTTGTTTTTTCCAGGACTGTTATGTCCCGAACATGCATGCACATTAATATGTGAGTACAAGTTCAGACTTGACTCAGCAGACACCAGTGTTTCTTATGGATGACAGTATGTGGGTTTGATAGGATGAAGACTTTTTTCCACACTGTGGCACCGAACCAGAAAGGGATATCATTATGACTGGACATAGATCCGGAAGCGTGTGTTTGTGTGATTGCAGGAAATCTGCGCTGAGTGATGTTATCATCAGCGTGAGACCAGCAGATGGTCATCCCCCTCAAACCAAACACAAAGAGGTGAGGAACGGCTATCCAGTCCCCCCACCAGGGGCAGATGTTAACGCCTCCCCAGGGATGCAGCGGTGAATGTTTGTACCATACAATCAGACACAGACACACAAACCCGATGCTATTACAGTGGTTCAATTATATGTAAACTAAAAACAAGTGAATAAAAAGTGACAGCACACCTGTTCAGGGGTCTCATTGACTACATAGCAGACAGGAGGTTTAGTATGTTTGAGTTCTGGAGGCACTCAGGGTCAGCAGGCAGTCCTAATGATGTGAGCACATGCTCAGCGTTTACTCCACGGGTCTTGGGGACACAAGTCTCCATCTCCCCCTACAATTCTCATCAGACACCCCAGCTGAATGCCTTCTCCTCGTTCCCATGCCCAAACATGCATGCCACTGCATTCCTCTGTAAGTTCATCACCACTTGTTAGAAAATGCATCTCTTTACTTCTTCCTCTCTGTCAGGCTCTTTCTCACATGCTCTCACAAAACAAAAAATACCATTACACACACACACACCCTCAGGGCTTCAGTAGGAAGGCTGTATTTGAGGCTTTTTCTCCGGCTATACAAAGAATGTGACCCTCAGTGAAGAGATTACAGAACTTGCACAAAGACACTGTCTCAGTGCTTTCAGTCTCATGCATTGTTCCCAAGTCTGACCCTGCAGGCCTTCAGTGTCTGAGAACCAATACGACTGTATATCCGTATCTCAGTTTCCCTTTTTACATGACTATAAAGTTTTGTGTTAGCCATTATGTATATCCTGAACTGTGGTTGTGAACTTTTGTTACTTTTCTGTTGGTCATTAGAGTAAAACTGGAGAGAAAACTGCAGCTTCCTGAGTTAAATAGCTGTTTAAACAGACCATTAAGGGCTGGGCTCAGTGTGTGTTTGTAGCAGGGCTGGCCTCTCGTGTTTTTTTGCCGGGCAGTTCTGATCGTAATGACAGACTGCACTTTCCTTTATGACAGGGCACAACAAGCAAAGCCTCTCTGCTACACAGCTCTACACAAATACGGACAACAAATCTCTTTATAGGAAGTCATGGGAAAAAATATGCAGGATACTTTTCAATTTGATTTTCAATCAATCAATCAATCAAAATTTATTTATATAGCACATTTAAAAACAACAGTTTTGATCAAAGTGCTTCACAAATTAAAAAAAAAAAAGAATAAATAAATAAAAAAAATAAAATAAAATAAAAATACAATTTTGGTACTCAATTAGCTCAGCAAGCAGCACAGACAAAGTTAAAATGTGCACTGATTATCTGATTTAACTGACACTTTGTATACAAGTTAAATGGAATCAAGTGGTTATTTTTTCTTCTTCAAGCAGCAGTTATGAGAGTGAAAATTTCCATAAAAATGGTTATACATAACATATCTGCTCAGTGTGCATCTTCAGTGAGTTTGGTATGACAGCCGGGAGCTAACTACTAGCTAGCTAACCACTAATGACGCCATAAAAAACCACTACATAACAGCTTAACAGAAGTATGGAGTAATTTCTTAAGAGAGCCCAGAAAAATACAGCAAGCTCACATATGATGTATGAACATATATAACACATATATTATTTATAGCTAACACGTACACAACTAATAGCCACACATTAACTTGAGCCAGCAGTGTCATTAGCATTCTTACAAGTAAAAAGCTAATTAGCTAATGTTGCTAAGCAGTTAGCTTACAGAGGTTTTAGCAGAAATGTGAGAAACAGCAAAACTGAACCAGAGATTTGCTAAGGTATTATTTTAACTGAGAGACTAAATAGTAGCCATAATAGAAGCAGGTCGAACTCTACATACTATGAAAAGGTGCTTAAATGCTTCTTTTATTACTTCTGTTGCTTTAGTTTCTTATAAATTCTCCGTTACATCTTTCCATCACTCCAAACAGACTGAAATTGTAGACCTACACGGTAACAGAAAAAAATAGAGGCAATTTAAAAACGTCTCAGCCTAAATGGGTTATTATTTATTGCCATTATGTGCAAAGCCAGCAATAAGAATATAAACAAAATTTGGTTGCACACACAGCTAAAACAGGCAACCAGCAAATAAGAAAGATTTAATAATTAAAAATCAGAGTTAAAGACAGTGTGTTAGGTTTACGCTGATTAGCTTTTCCAGATGATAAATAACGCCCTGCAGCACAGCGGCCCCTCAAACGGTGTCTCGACAATGTAGGCATGTGGTGAGACATCAAGTCTCTTTAAGTTTATAACAGTTATTAAAGCTACAAATTGACTTGTAAGTCAATGATAGTACTCACTTTTACATTACTTTTATTTCTTCTTCTACTCAAGAGAGAGACAGACAGAGGGAGTGAGAGAAAGAAAAATGGGATTATGAGATTTTAGGTGTTTGCTTTATAAAATCTAAGCTAAGGTGTGCTGAGACACCTCCAAGGTACATATTAATCACAGGTGGTGCTGAGATAAGTGGGACGACACCAAGTGAAACTTTCTAAGTAATGTTTAACTGCAGCAAATGTTATCATCAGCAGTTACTGATGCAACATGGAAGTGGCTGTTCTCACCCTTTGGTTAGGCATTGCTTTCGAAAAGGCATATCATTAGTGGAACAAGGAAAACAAGGAACAGCCAGATCTCCTATGTGGCTTTTTAAAAAAGTTGTATTATTATTACTAGTGCCAGGCTGTGTGGTAAATCTAAATAAAATGAAGGGTGTTTTTAGATATAAACCTTTATTTTGAAATCTAGTTAAGGTGTAACAGGAGCAGCCATAAAAAGGCATCCTTAGGAAAACATTGCCTCATATTCAACTACTTGTTTCTATCAATTCTGTGTGTGACAGATATAAATGATATTTACACACTCTAAGTCAATGAGCTGTCCTCTTACAATCTCCGAGCTGCTGGTTACTGACCGGGTGTACACTACGATACTCTATTAGGCTTCCTTTTAAGGGAAACTTCTGTGTGGTTAGTGGCCCTTTTTTATAACATTTACCCTGCCAATCTTAAGAACTTGTCCAAATCGGGCAGTACACACTCTTATCTGAACAATAAAGTCTTGCCCACCCTTTTTGTTTATGGAGTCGGGAAATCACATCAGCCTATAAAAATAGACAAAGCATTTTAGGATTACAGGACATGACATCACATGAAAAACATTACCACACAAGCTCTGTTGCCTGGACAAACAAAAACAGTCCCATTATCAGATAATCCAGCGTCACAGACTTCGTTACAGTGTTTGTTTCGTACATTTGCTCCCCAACAGAAATGCACCAGTCTACAAGGACCAGCCTTACACTTCCTCACTGCCAGTTTAAGGAGCAGGTGTAGAGCTTCTTCTCTAAAGTACATGTTTTCAACACACTAACTTTAAGTAGCTCAGCGCTTAACAGGGAGAAGATAATAATAGCATTAGTTCCCTTTAGTTGCAGACAATTGTTAGCTCAAAACATACGCCACACCTCTTGGAATGCAAGACCTGTT